TTATTTAAATCTAAAGGAAGTTGCTTTTTAGAAGACTTGAAGGGAAAGTGAATTTGATTATTATCAACAAAATTATAATTACAATCAATTTCTAATATTTTTTTAACTATTTATTTATCAGTCTGCTCTTATCTTAACTTCTTTAGATAGGTAAGTATTTTAAAGTTTTCATTCCATTTTGGTTGAAAAAAGTATACTCTTTTACTTTAATATTATAACAATCTATGATAAGTCTAGGCGCTTGGAATATTTAATTTATTGATGCTTAAACTGAAATGATACATGATAATATTAAAGAGAATAGTGAACACAACGAAGAGATTAGAATACAGTGTGAAATTAATTAAAAAAAAGTAATTTAACAAAGCATGATGCCTATTCTCTTATCAAAGTAATTATGATAGATTTGCTAAATTTATTATTTATTTTAAAAGGGAATGGTATTAAAGGTGAATTTAATATTTGTAAGGATTTTTTGTTTTTTTAGTTCACATAACAGAGTTAATAAAAAGATATGAAAAGGAATTGAAAAGATCTCAGATTATTTAAGTAATTAATATATAAAAAGTATTTTTGTATATAAAGTACTGTAAGGATAAATTAACCACCATTAAGTTATATCTCCCTTTAAAGGATATTTCAGGAGATGATTATATCTACTCTAGATTATAATTACACGCAATAACAATCTAATTATATCTACTACTGATTATAATTGACTTAATGCTATTCCAAAAAAACTTTCAATAATTTTTCAATATTTATCTAAAATAAACATGAATAAATCACTGAGATTATGTGGGTACTTTTTTAAAGAGTGAGAACTATGTCATCACTATTAGCTTCAAGATGATTTTAACTAAATTAATTTATATCTAGACAAAAAAATAAATCTTATCACTTTTTATTAGAAATAAAATGCATTTTTTATAATGAGCACATCCATTTAAAGTTAAGTCAGAATAAATTAAATAAAAATAATCCTAAACTTTATTTTGAGCTTGGATACGGAATATTCTCAAATGAATAGAAAAAATATTTTAAATATTTTTTTTATTATTTTCAATTTCCTTTCACAACAATCTATATTAAGAAAATAACAATACTCTTTTAATTTTTTTTCCATTAATCATTTGGTTTAATCTTTAATTTTCCTTCATAATATCTTAGAGCTTCTTAATAGTGCTGCTAATCTCTTAGACAGATACCTTAATATTAATGAATATATACTGATATTCTCAAGAATAAAAGTATGGTTAAGATTTTTAAGATTGCTTAACGGAGAAATATTGACGATTCATTATAAAATTTAATTAATTAACAATTTCTAAAAATTCCCTTATTCATATAATATTACTAAAATACCTTTTTCATTTAAGGAAAAGATATGATTAGGGTCAATAGTTAATGCTTTTTCAAATCAAGTTATTGCATCCTAGTTTTTATTTAATAATAATAAGCATGCACCTAATTGTAGAATAATTTTTACATAACTACTCTATTCTAAATTAATTAATTATGAGTTTATAAGCATGCACCTGTTATAATTATATTATATCACCTTAATAGAAGAAAGATTATTTTATAAAATGATTTATTTAAAGTGATTTATCAAATTATTCTACGACAAAGATTTATCCTTTGGAAACGACCAAATGCAATTAAAAAAATTAGCTAAAAATAAACTCCTTTTAAAGCTTCTCTTGTATTTTAAGTGCTATTTAATTATTGGATTCTAAGAGCTGCTAATAGATTATTATCTGGTAATATCAGTGATCTAGATACTTAATTCACCTGATTCGTGGGCTCACCTATTTTAAGTATTTTGTCTTATAAAATTTGAAAATTAAATTTTTTTTGATTAATTTTGCAATTCTGAAGAATAATTGGAATAGTTAATGTCTATTTTTTGCCTATTTTTTCAAATAGCATGATATAATTTTTGATGAGGTACATTAATTTTTTATGAACAATTTCTAGATATTTATTGATATCTGAAATATTTAAAAAAAAGAGAAGTAATAGGAAATGATTACTAGACAATTTAATGAATCAGATCTTAATCTTAGAGGTTGAATCAAAAGGATGTATGAATAAAAAGTAAAAATGATTAGTTTGATAATTATTAGTTTAATAATATAAAAGTTCCAAATTTGAGATAAACTAATTTTTGATTTATTTTCATATTTAGTTATAGAATGAAACATCTAAGGTTTTTATTAGGCTATGACAAATACTTTTTTCCATAAAACTACAAATGATATGAGGTTATTTTAAGGAATTAGTAAATTCACTTTGATGACTATTTTAATAATAATAATAAGGTATATGAAGATTGGATTAACAGTGATAATTGTTTAAATGTTAATTTAAATATCTAATTAGAATTGTACCAGATAATCAAAAAACTTAAATTCTTTATTGAAGAGAAATCACTAGAATGTATTATCTTATTAATCAGGAGCATTAATTTCATCAAAAAATGTTAATTACTTTTAATACAAGAATGATGGGGTTTGTCTAAGAGATGGGATTTATAAAACAAGGCCAGTTGGAGCACCATATACGTCATGTGGATTAGGGAAATAAATTTCCATAACACTGCTCTAAAAGTATTTATTGAATACATTAAAAATTTGGTTTTGGGATTATGACTTTCTTTATAACGAAAGTACTAGACATTTCGATGTCGTTGTTTATGCTAAATTAGATTAAGGAAAAAATAAAATTTATGAGAATAACTTTGCAATAAGTATCATGACTATAGAATTTGATGATTAGTTTGTTGAAGAATTTTAAGTAGTAAATGTAGGAGGTAATACTTATAATGGAAATTTGCATATCATTAAAGTTGAAGCTTATTATAAATTTTCATGAGTTCTAAAATTGATTTTTAATTATTTTCAATTAATTGTTCCATCTAATAAGCTAAATTTACATGATTAGATGAATCAAATATATATGATAAATAATAAATTGACAGATTTATACATCTATAAATATATAATTAATCTAATCTTTCAGATATTATGATATTCAAAATATAATTATAAATATGTTTAAATTTCTATTTAAAAATAAACTAAGATTAATACTTAGATCAAATTGTTTTCAATAAATAATTAAAGCCTAATTTAGGAATAATAATAATATAAAAAATTGAGATAAAATTATGAATAGAAAAACTAATAATTATGCTTAGTTGCTTCTAACAATATTATCATTTTGAGTAATCGTTAATTGAAAGTAAAAACTGAACTTTTTTATAAAGTTTTTGAGTTATGAATAAGGCAATTCCAATCACAAATGATGTAGTTGATAATTTTATCAACTCAAAATAATAATGCTTAAAATGATTTAATTTGAAATAGGATTTAGAACTACTATTAATTCATTATATATATATTTATATATTTATGAATAATATCTAATAAATGAGTCAATTTCTTTGATTAATTTATTTCAATTATTTAAGATAAAATAATTTAATTTTACTTAGGGTATTAAGTAATTCATATATTTCTAAAAAAAGAACTTAAATTTAATGGATAATTTAACTCTCTTATTCTTCAATTCTTTTCTATCCGTTTTTCAATACATAACTATAAAAATAAACTTCAAAAAGCTGAATTGAAAATTTTATTCAAATTAATTATATTTTTGATACCCAAATATAAAATAAATAAAGTTCAATTTAGATTTTCACTTAATCAATAATGTTCTGAAAAATATTCTCTAAATTATTTCAAACATTATCAACCCTTTTAAAATGAAAAAAATATATTTAATAAAAATGGCAACTCAAAATGATTTCATAAATAATTTATCATTTTATTCTTACATCATGCTAAAAGTAAGATTTATAAATTACTATTAATAAAACTAACTAGTTGCTTAAATTAATTAATTTGATTATTATAATCTAAGTCTAAGAAGATAGGGAAAATTAATGTTATTTCTAATTACGATCATATGAATAATTCAAAGAAAAATGTGAACCAAAAATATTAACATTCATCAATTTATGTTATGATGTAATATAAGAATAAGATATAATTACAATTATCAATATAAAGATAGTAACTGAAGACTAAAAAAATAAGTTAAGATTTCTTGATACCCAATATTGTATGATAATGAGAAAAAAATCTATTTATTGGTTTATCTTAATAATCAAAAGTAAACCATCCTACATCATGATCCCATCTTAGTTTTTGGAATATGCATTATTGTTTATCATAATCCCCCTATTAACCATTCGATAAAGATTAATTAATTCAATATTCAATAGGAATAATAAAAGGAACTTTATTATAATACTTTGATAAAATATGAGCTTAAATCATTAAATTTTCAATCCTTAACATTTTTTGCTTTGTTCTCATTAAATCAACATTTCTTTTTTTTTTGAATTGGGTTCCTTATTCCATTTAAATCTTGTGAATAGATTATTTTATTATTTTATAAACTAATTTTTCTTTAATCTTGAATCTCTCTTCAATTTAAATTCCAATAGTATAAAAGAAAAAAAAAGAAATTATTGACTTTTAATATCAATTAAAATTATTCAATTATAATTATCTTATTTCAGATTATTTTTGACTGTGAATAATTATATATTCTCCTTAATTACTTATGCAAAATCTTTTTGAAAAATAGCTAACTGGATTATCTGAAAAATAAGCAGAAATAAAATATTTATTCTCTTCTATTCCAACAGTAGACTATATTCCATTAAAATCAATCATAATTTCATTTTATCTAAAAGCTATATGTTAGATTTTATTATTTTAGTTATCTTTCTCCTTCTCGAATTAATTATTGTTTATATTGAATTTATAAGACTTTAGATTCCTTTTCGGATCTGCAATAATAATAACCTTATGTTAACTAATATAACAAATTGAATTAAGCATCATTATTGGAATTTTTTATATACATTCCCAAGTGACTTGAATCTCATTTTACTTTTTTTAATAAATACATAGTAGACCATCACCATCTTTCCAGAAATCAGCTTTACAAATTAGTGTACATTTGAGCAATGTTAATAGAATTCTTCATACCAAATATATTTCCAAGTTGAATTTTGTTTTTGAAATATTAAAATACCATCTCCATACTCAATTAATAAATCTTCATTTTTATTCAAAAGAAATGATTGGAATCTACCACGTTAAAAGCATTTATCTATAGTTAATATTTTATAATTATTCATTCCTATAAATGATGATATACATCTCTTATTCTAATTCATAAAAATGAATTAATCTTAC